TTTTATTTTTCTTCTTCTCCCTGGACTTTTGTTCTCTCTTTGGATGCACCAGCAGCCTTGGAAGGGAGAGGAAAAGCAGGTCAGAGCAAGTGGAAAAAAGAAAAAAAAAATAAAATAAAATAAAAAGGGAAAAAGGTCCACACAAATGGGGTAAGGTTCATTGTTGATGAAATTGCTGTGTCAACTTGCACTCTTTAATTCCTCTCCCCCATTTCCCTCCTATGTCATCAAGCGTTCAACTACGGGGTCAAAGATCTAACTCGGGATACTCAATCCAGAATAGTTCTGCACAACGATTTCCGACATTCTTAAGAAATTCATGGGAATGGATTCCACCCAACTAAAAAGGTAGGCTGTTCGGGAACCGCATCTTCCCGTCTAGCTCCACCTTACCGTGCCTGGTATACTCGGAATAGATACGTGCTGGGTAGGCAATTGGAAATGTCTACGAATTTTCGATGGACCCAAGGCTACGGCGGATCCTGGGTGAAGCGCATGGTGAGAAACAAGAACAAGCTGCTGGATCCGTCGTAAGGGACCGGGGGAGGTAAGCTCCTGGCCCCCGGCACTGGGGAAGCGCAAATTGTTTTTCAGCCCCAAGGAGCTAACGGACGCCATGTGTAGTGTGCCCGTTTTTTCCCTGTCTCTCTTTGGCCAGCTATTGCTTATTGAATTGGGGGCCAGGGTGGCTAGCACGTAGCCGATTCGTACTTTGGAACTAAGCGTCTAACTTAGGGCGGGTACTGGACCAGGAGGAAACGGCGCCGGCTGGCATACGTGGAGCCAGGTTCTGGGCTTAGGATCGTCATGATAGGGAGAGCGGGTGCTTGAGATCAAGACCCAGGACCACATGGCGATAAGCAGTCATGGGTAGTTCAGGTTTTGGGGAGGGAGGGGGACCCTTCTCTGAGGTAATTAACATTAACGGGTGCATGGGCTCACTCCATATCTACTCTACTAGTAGTACTAACAATCAACAGAGCCCCTGGAATGGATATCCATTCTTCAACCTACCAATATTAACGGTACCCGCTCGTGTGTGCATGACAGACGACTTTTGAGAGGGAAAGAAAAATGAAATAAAATAAAATAAACAAAAATAAAAAATAACAATGTCGGCTACTTTTCTCTCGCGTTCGTTTGGCCCCCACCGACTTAGACGTCGCCAGCCACAATTGGGGGATCCGCATTTTCTCGATTAAGACAATTCGTATTATTATATTACTTTTTGCTATTAGGGGATTTCACCCTGACGATTAACGAAAACAAACCAAATTACCAAAATACGAAGATTACAAAAGAAAAACAGAACGACCATGGAAAAATCAGGGAAAAAAAGTTAGGAAAGAAAAAACCCTAAAAAGCAAAAAAAGAGAAACAAAATCAACCCATTCCCTGGGTTCTGGATTGTTCTTTCACTGTTAAACTCATGGTTGATCCCCACTCCATGTTCTTTTTTCAATTATCAACCAAAATACTGACTTGAACCAGACTTGTAAAAACAAAACAAGAAAACGGGACAAAAGAAAAGAAAAGAAAGGACAAAAAAAATCAAAAATTAAAAACCACAAAACCCACATCCCGAGGAAAGACACCTTAGATAACGAACCGGACCATGGCGGACACTTCTTGATGCAAGCTTAGGAACCTTGTTATTGAAGGCATCCAACCAGTCCATTGGGAGCGAATACGGTTTTTTTTCCACTATACTATCACATGGTTTGGCGCACCAACACCAACACTGAAACACTGGCGGGAAAGACTCGATCGAAGCGCCTCGGCGGACATGGTCAGGCAAACGGATATGACACGTTATTTTCACCGTTTTACACGAATCAGAGCAGATGGTGTGGTTGGTGACGTCCACGGTAAGGATCGGCCAGGATCAAGAACCTTCATGTTCGATAACCGCTCGGCCGGAACGCGCTCGCATGGAAAGTGTATCAAATACATCATCATCGTCCGCTTGATGTCTGGGACTGCGCGTGGCTATTCCTATCGGCGCCATTGATCGACCATTGAGGGCGGGTTTAGACTGGCGCTTAGACATAAGCCAGAAAGGAAAATAGATTAATCGGCCAAGCTAACGGATGGTTAGGCCGATACCATTACGAAGTATGTGTCACTTGATCCAAAACCCCATCTCGGAGGCATATCAGTCAGTTTCTTCCGTCCTCAGCCTTTCTATGGTTTCGCTTCCTTTCCCCACAGAGCCCGTGATTGGTCTATCGCAATTCAATGATGGGGCCGTTTCTCGGCGAACGACAACCGACACGCCTTTCAACTTGGGAAAAAGAATTCCATGAACTCTGATTTGGGAGAACTGGGCATTTTCCACGAGGTAACGCCGACATCGCACGCGATTCGGGGCCCTGATGGAGAAATTGCTGGGCGGGATTTGCAGGGTAGGTAACATCACGACTCCACCGCCTCACCCAATTCAACATCTTAATATCGTTGAATATAGCCTCTGGCTCATTAGCACCAGATGGACACACATATATATATATGACAGAGTTTGGGCCGAGTGTCTCAACCCGAGACCTCTTTCTTCAGGATCAGACGATCGACTGGTCTCCACGTGCGGTGGCACTTTTATCGATCCTGCTAGGTTTCTCCAACGACTCCGTAGTTCGGGATACCATATGGCCAGTGGGTATTCTACATGGGCTCCCAGTAAGCTGGGGTCTTCGATGGACCGGGATTAGAGAATCTTTAATTAATTCCCCTTCCCTTTCCGATAGCGCGATAACCTTCAAGGCAAGCCCAACGGGTACCTGTTCCTTGTCCAACGTAGTACAGGGCCTATGCAAGCCTCAAGCGATGCACGCACGTACCGCCCACGAACAAAAAATTGTCGGTACTAAGTCAGTCAGACTCAACACAACCCTCCAAAA